TTCTAAAGACTCTGGAAAGACTTTAGAAGGATAAAGAATGAGAGGTGAAGCATATTGAAGGCAGCTGTAAAAATCTCCAAACAATTCCATGTCAGCTGGGACCTGAAGAACCAGCAGGAGCCAGGCAGGGGGAAGAGCTGGGGGAGAGCACCGCAGGCTCTGGGAACAGCAGCAGGTCCTGAGCTGGGACCGCGCTCAGTGCTTCTGAAGATGACAATGAGAACGGTCAGGAGGGGCTGTGGCTGAAGCAAGGCCAGTGTCCCCACCTCAGTGCCTCTCCCTGTTCCCAGCCTCCCCTCCAGCCTGGTCCACTTTGCCAACCAAACTCCTATTTATCCTACATTTGCCAGCTCAGAAATTGCTTCCTCAGGAAAGCCTTCCCTGACTTCCCGGGAAGGCTGTAACTCCTCATCAAACCTTCTGTATCGATTTCTATAACTGCCACACCAAATCACTGCAAATTCCATGGCTTTAAACAACGAGTGTCATTCTCTCTGCATTCTGGAACACAAAAGTCCAAAATCACCACGGCGGCAGGGTTGTGCTCCCTCTGGAGACCCTAGGAAATATTCCTTCTCAGCCCTGCCAGCTCCGGTGGGTGGCTCCAAGTGGGCTTTGGCTTATGGCTGTGTCACTCTAGTCGCCTCTGTTTTCACTTGTCCTTCTGTGCTCACTTAAAAAGAGTGCTTGTTGCCTGCCTTGCAAGTGTGTGGTCGTGAGTTCAATCCCCGGTACTGACAGAAAAAGAAAAAGACGAAAAAAAAAAAAAAGACTGCTTGTTGCATTTTAAGCCTGCTTGCATAAACCACGATGATCATATTGGGACATCTTTGACTTAACCACATCTGCAAAGACTTTTTTTTCTATAAACAACATTGTAGTCACAGGTTTTGGAGTTAGGACATGGACCTATCCCTTTTTATGGAGAAGGTGCACCATTCAGCCCCCTATTCTTTCTTAAAGCATCTTGAACCTTTCCCTCACCTCAGCCTTAGCTAGCAATTCCATGTTTGTTGGTGAAATTATTTGGCAACAACTATTTCCTCAAGATGCTGTGGACGATAACGAGGCAGCACACCCCTGTAACTTCTACGATCTGGGGGACAAGGCAGGGGTTTCACAAGCTCAGGTCCAGCCTGGGTAGCTTAGTAAATTAGTGAGACTCTGTCTCAAAATAAAAAGTTACAAAAGGGCTAGGGATGTAGCTCAGTGCAAAGGTTTTGGGTTCAATCACCAGAACCATGGAAAAAATGACAGCAGACTCCATGTCTGCACTGCTCACCCCTGTATCCCAGCTGCCCACACTCAGTAGGCACCTGATGCGTGTATCGATCAAACCATCAGCTGAACCCGGAGCTCCTAGAACATGCTTCCTGTCGAGGGCACCGGCAGCAGCCATAAGCACAAGGTCTCCAGCAAGCGATGTACTCAACTCTTTATGGCCCCATAAATCCCATGGCTGGCAGCACGATTAGAACTGAGTCCAAATGCAAGCGATTTAATTTCCCAGTGCGCAGCCTGCACAGCCGTGTAAACTCACCTCCCTAAACCAATAGCCATAAACGTTTGATAAAACACCATGTGGCTTCCCGTTCCCTAGAAATGGTTTTTGAGGCCAAGAAGAAGCAACATCCGGCCCCTAGTAGATGTTTACTGAGTGCTGTAATTAACATTCAACCGAGTTTAATGGCCGTATCAATAACACTGGCATTCACCCAGCCAGTATGCTGATGGGTCCAGTCCAGAGAGGAAAACACACAGAAGGATCTCAGCTTCCACCTTCAAACACGCTGTGGGGTAAAGAAACACAGCTGTGTGTTTGTGTGGTGCTCCCAGCTTCTCATTCCACGGCCACATCCCAGAGCTCCCTGACCTCGCATTGAATCTGTGTGGAGAACAAAATAAAATGCTAACTCCCAGCTGGGCACGGTGGTTCGCATCTGTAATCCCAGCTTCTCAGACAGCTGAGACAGGAAGATTGCAAACTTAGCTCAGCTTAGCAATTTAGTGACCTAGCAAGACCCTATCTCAAAATAAACTAAAAAATATTTTAAGGATGTTAGGAATGCAACTCAGTGTAAAGGCCCTGGGTTCAATCTTCAGTACTAAAAAAAAAAAGCCAACTCACCAAGGTGGCAGAAAGCCTACAACCCAGGCACTCAGGAAGCTGAGACAAGAGGATCATAAATTTGAAACCAGCCTGAGAGGTACATATGGAGTGCTAGGCCAGCGTTTACTGAATAGAGAGACCCTGCCTCAAAAAATAAATTCACTAACTCCATTTAATATTGAAAAATAGTGAAGCTCAGAAAGGATAGTTCTTGCCCAAGTCAGGCGGCTCATAAAAGTGTCTTGGGCCTGGACCCAAGTCTCAGGACCCCTGGTGGCAGAAATGGAAAGGACCCTGCAATGCTGACTGCAAGTTCCAGGAAGACTGTTGACATCTGACAACACTCTCAACCCTCTTGTGATGGGCTGTAGACTGCACTGTCCCCTTCTGCAAGGTTTCAGAGCAAGGAACTCGGCTCACAGTGGCTTGGCAAGAGCCACCTGACATCCCGCTGTCCACAGTGCAGACCAGTCCCTGGCCAGTAGGTCCAGGTAAGAGCACGAAATGCTTCATCTGTCACCAGTTCCTACCCCATGCGAAGGGATTCCTCTGGGGGCCTCATTTGCTGAGAAGCGATAGGCAGCCTGCAGCAGGATGCTACGGCTAAGCAGGCTCCTCCTTGGGTTAGGGTCCTTCCCAGGGGGCACTGAGTTTGAGCCACTCAGAGGAGAGTATTGAAGCAGAGATAAGCAGAACCCAGTGCCCATCTGCCAACGCTTCATGCTTAGGGATGGTTAGCAAATGGCTCCTTCTCCACTCTCCATGTTCTAATCTGTAAGATGCAGGGCTGGGAGGAAGAGGCATGAGCTGTTTATATCTGAGCTTTCATGCAATGCTAACATCCCAGGACTCCAGGAATGAAAGATATAAATAGTGGCTTCGTAAGATTCTCCTGTAAGATCTCGCCTGGCCCTGAGATAGACACTCACTGTTGGTATCCGCTCAGCACCCACTCACTATTCCTCAGCCTTTGGGGCCTGACCTTCCCTTGGAGAACCTCGACCTCACTCTATTGGTTGAGGTGGGAGGGGCTGACACTACTCCAACTTCATGGTGAGCACATGACCCAGACTGAGCCAGAGTGCTTCAAAGATGAACGCGTGTTCAACAAAGCCATTGAAATCCAGCCACTGTGCTTTTTCTAAAACATCTACCAGGCATTATAAACTGGAAAGATAAAGATCTAGTAGTGCTGGTCATTATCACCACGATGTGGGGGGCAAAGCTGCTTAAGAACATTGTCAGCTGAGAAGGTAGCAGAGATGGAAGATAAAGAGACTGAGTGACAGGGCCATCTGATGGACACCTGGATTCAGCCATGTCTGAAGCCAGAACTCTGTCTGTTTTCCAGTCTTGTGAGTCAGAAAATTGACCTTATTTCAGCCAATTTGAGCTGAGATCCTAGAGCTTTCAATCAGAAGAGTCCTGATGCATATACTGTATATTCTACCTCCACAACGAGGGTGAGGAATTGAAATAAAATGTCCTTTCACTCTCAGACACATAGGCAAGGTCATTATTGGCTTCAGTAAATTCCAGAATGTCAGAGCTACAAGAGCTACCTTACTGTATGCAAGAAGAACCAGAGGTCGGGGAAAGGACTTTCCCGTAACAGTGAGGTTCAGTGGCAGAGCCAGGCCTTGGAGGGCAGCTCAGAGCTCCTCCCTCCACCCACACACAGGCAGCTGTCACAGCCAGCTCCTCCCATTACTGCCATGGTGATGGCACAGCCGAAGATGCACCCCACCGCTGCCAGCCAACACACTTCAGTTTGTTAGCTTCCCAGGTAACAGTTCCCGTTACAGTTCCTGTTACTTTTGTTTGTTAGAAACAGCTGATCACTGGGATGCATACTTGGTCAGTATGATGCTTATTGTAAGAACCAATCTCCGATTAACAAGCCATTCTGCCTCTGCACTTCCTGCTTGCTTATCCCATATAAGTCCTAGCCCACCAGAGATCAGGGCTTCATATTTTGGGAGTGATCTTGATCAGTGCTCATCTATGTAAAATAAATCTGTCTCCAAATGCTTAGTGTCATTTCAGTGTTTCTGCTTGCTGCTGCAGTGGTGCCAGGTTGTGGAGGAGCATTTAGGAAGCTATGAAGCATGCAAATAGAACTCTTATGAATGAGCTTTTTAAAAAAAGGATGGAGAGAGACCCCTGACTCTCGCCATCAACACACACATGGCTGAAGGATGTCATCTATGAATGACAAAATAGGTCCTAGCCAGACACACAATCTGCAGGTGACCTGATCTTGAACTTCTGGCCTACAGAATTCTAAGCAGTACCTTTCTTTATAGCTGATACGCCACCTGGTCTCTGGGTTGGCTGGCTGGTTGGTTGGTTGGCTGGTCTTAATTAAACAGACTGACTTCAGATACAAATATTTAGGGATAACACTCAAGGGTCAGAAAGAACCGGGTGGATCCCAGGGTCAACTGATGCTGATTTCTCTAATTCATCTGCACTCAGATGGGCCAGCTAGCAGCATGTGGATCACAAACCCCATCAGAACACGGGATCACAAACTCCATCAGAACACAGACCCAAGACCAGGCCTGGCTTATGAGGGAGTCTAGCGAGCCTAGCCTGCCCTGTTTACTCTTGCCCTGTGGGATAGAGGAAGAACTTCATATTTTGCCCTTAAGATATGAGTGTTGACATCACTTTACATTACTAGAGAACATCCCCAGCCAAGAAATAAACCACCAGCTTTATTTACAGCATATTTCCCAGAACTCAGAGAAATACTGCACTTTTCTTTGCGTAGGACTGAGACCAAAGCATCATTTATAACAATATATCAAACTTTACAGTACATAAAACTCTCTGTACCTTATAAAAACACACAAAGAATGGCTTGCTCTTTACATAAATTACTTACGGACAGCTCGGGTTTACACATCATTTTGAAAGGATCTCCATTACTGGGAAGAGCTGTTTCTACCAACGGCAATTTTTGTGGTGTCTGAGGGAACAATTAAAATGGGAAAGAGAGAAATCGCAACAAAGCAGTCTGGGGGAAGGCAAGCTGTCCCAGCTCAGCCTAAAGCCAAATGTGTTGTGTTCATCGCAATGTTAGTCACCTTATTAGATGTTGTCTTTCAAGACGTGTGATGGCCCCACGCACAACACTGTTAAAAGCCTAAGGTCAAGAATTGTATCTACCAGTAAGTAGTTTCACTCATAATTTTACCCCTGGCACATAGTAGGTGCCAAGTAAATATGGATTGAAGAGGGAGAGAAGGAGGAAAAGAAAGGAAAGAGGATAGGAAAGGGAGGGGAAGGGAAAGGAGTCTGCATAGAATGTAAATGTATCAGTTATCTACTGTCCCGGTGTTGCTGTGGAACAGACACCCCAGAAACAGTGATTTAAAACTCCCCTTTATATTGTCGCCCACAGCTTGCAGTCTGGCAGGCAGTTCTGGCCCCAGCTGAACTCACCCACATATCTGCTGGGCAGCTGGCTGTTGGCTATTGGCTGATGGGTAATGGCCTCCGGGGGGACAACTGAGTTCTCCCCTGCTTGTCCCTCTTTCTCGTGCACATGGACAAGTCGTTCATGTTACCTCAGGAGGCTGGTCTGGGAACATTCTCCAGCTAGTCGGGGCACATTCTCCTAAAGATTGCAGGATTATAAGCCAGCCAGTGGAAATATGCGAGCATCCTTCCTAACCTTTACTTGCTGTGTGTTTGCCAAATTCCATTGGCTAGAACAAGTCACGTGACCCTGCCCTAAACCAGGCTGGGGAGGGACTAAGACTTACAGAACAAAGGGCATCAATACAGAGAAGGACGGTGACGGTGACCCGGCCTGCAGATACAGCCAGCTGACCACAATAGCCATTCCACTTCTTCCCCGCCTCTCCTCACCCTTGAACTCACTTTTACAATTATCTAAAGCCCACGGAAAAAGAATAGAAATTTGATGTTTTGACCTGGTTCCCTACGGTAAAAAACGAGAGTCCAAAATCAGGCTCTTCAATTACAGTCACACTTATTTAAACCAGCTGTCACAAATCTCAATACCTACAGGGGACAGGCGGGTCATAAATTACTGAATCAGACCAGGCTCAGAGCGGATTGTTCCAGAAAACCCCGCCTCTGTCCCCAGGGTGGCGGCTCCCTGGGATGCAGGCCCAGGGCTGCCAGCTCAGGAGAGTGTCTAAGAGATGCTGCAGATGGACGTTGTTAAGGGAAAACATTTTAAAAATAATCATAATAAATAGGCACAATCTGGGCCCCCCAAAATACACCCATGAGACACCGCCGACGCATTTATGGAACATCTGTTATGCATTATACAAGTGTTTTTCAGTTTACATACACGTTACAGACCGAATTACATCCCTGCCCTCTAAATAATTCATATGTGAAAGCGTTAACCCCAACAGGATCGCTTTTGGAGGCGGAGCTTTCAAGGGCAGAAAGGTTAAATGAGGTCGAAAGGACCAGCCCCTGATCCAAAAGGCCTGGTGTCCTTATGAAAGAGACGCCAGCCAGCGTCTCTCCTGCTGCACAGGGGAGGGCGGGGGAGGACGTGGAGAAGGCGGCGATCTGCAGCCCGAGGACAGAGGCCTCACCAGAAGCCAACCCTGGCAAGCAGGACTTGCACTCTCAGCCTCCAGAGTTTACAGTTCTGTTTTTTAAGCCCAGAGAAAGGTTCGTGCCCTGTATTTGTGTATTGTTTTTCAGAACCCTGGTACAGAACAAATTGTTGCTTCCATTTTTCAGATAGAAAGACTGTTTCAGAGAGGCAAAGACTTGCCCAAAGTCACACAGTGGCAAGAAAGCACCAAGTCAATCCCTGAACCTGAGCGCCATCTGTCCAGGAGATCCCAGCACCTCCTGCCTACGCAGGTCACCCCCAGGTAGCAGCAAGGCTCTGCCCACGACCTGCGGGAGCTCTTCTGCACATTGCACCACCAGCCCAGCTTCTGTGTGTTCACCCGCGGCAGCCAGCTTCTCAGTCTCTTGCTTGGCTACACTTTCCCTTGCCTGCTAGGGGCTCCCCACGGGCCCCAGAAGAGATCCAGGAGTGTCTGTGTGTTTCCTCCAGGCATTCACTGATGGATGAGTGACAGCTGCACCTGTGCCCAAGCCCAGCTGCCTTCCCAGGCTTGGAATTGCCCAGAGATGTAGTTCCCTGGGATGTAGCTAAGGCCCCTCTGCCCGGGCTTTAGCCAAAAACACACCCTTCTCAGCCCCTTCCCTTGCCATGCCTGCTCCTCCATCCCCTTATCATCTTCTTTTGGACACTTCTTTAGTCCTCTCTGGAGTCTTCTTCTGGGAAACCCAGCCCAGAACCAGGTGTCCTTGAAGACCCCTGCGTCACCATGAAGCTGCTTTTTAGCCCCAAATCCTGGTGCAATGGGAGATTTGAGGTTCACAACTCTGATGCTGGACTCAGAGGTAGATGGTGGTAGGAGTGGAAATGGACACCCCTATTGTAGTGGGGGACAGGAAGAGAGAATGCAGCTCTCTGGCCTTTAGTGATGCTTATTACTTTATTGCGTTTAGTGTACAAAAACATTTCAATGCACACATTTTAAAAAATCACCTGAAGGTAAAATATGCAAATCAGCACACTGGGATATGTACAACCAGAAGGTTCCATGTGTTTCAACAAAAATAGGGCCACCCCACACATAAAGTACAGTGGAAAGAAGAAAAGAGGTTGGGGAAGAGGACACAGTGACACACGCTGCGCACAGATCATCTGCACCGTGTCTTGATGTCTCCTCCACATTCTGATGTGTCTCCACCATGACTTACCTGACCAGCTTCTCACAGTGGAACACTGAGCCTGTTCGAATTTCCCATGATAAACAACGCTGTGATGAACATCCCCGACCTTCCACCTTGGGCGATGGAAAAAGGTTGCAGGGAGGACAGGAGCTGCAATGCTGCAGACACCCACAGCTAGAAGGTTTTAGGATGAGAATGGGCCAAGAAAAAGTGGGTGCCAAGCTGGGCGATCGATCATGTGGGAAGGACCCAAGGGCATCAAGTCATCAGCAAAGTTGTTTCCCTAATGTAGTTACTGCTCTCTTCTGTAATAGCAGGTTGGGTGTGTGTGTGTGTGTGTGTGTGTGTGTGTGTGTGTGTGTGTGTGTGGATGGAGCCTAGAGCCTTAAGCATGTTAGGCAAGCACTCTGCCACTGAGCTGCATCCTCAACCCTGGGAGGATATTAAAGCATAAAAAACGCTATTACGGCACCAAGGGCATTTCACGGGCCTCAAATTTAGTGCTCTCGAATCATACAATAATCAAATTCATGTCCCCAACTCATCAAATGGCCCAGGGCATGTCTCACAGATTTCCATTTCTCTTCAAACAAAGAGAGGCAAAAGTCCATGTCTTTGGCCCAAATGGGCCAGGTTATTGTGAGAGTTGAATAAATAATATCTAAAATAAATTACAGTTAAAATTTTTTTAAGAATCTATAGCTGGGGGCTGGGGTTTAGCTCAGCGGCATAAGCGCCTGCCTTGAATGCAGGCAGTCGTGAGTTCGATCCCTGGTACCGATAAAAAGGAAAAAGACCCAAAAAAATCTATAGCTGGGCGAGGTAGGCTACTTGGGAGACTGACGCAGTTGAATCCCAAGTTCAAGACAACCCTGGGCAATGTCAGGAGAACTTGCCTCAAAATAAAAAGTGAAAAGAACCAGAAATGTAGCTCAGTGGTAGGGCAGTTATCATGTGCTGGATTCTACACCCACTGCTGCAGAAAATCAAACAGATAAAAATGAATAAGTACAAATAAAAGCTATAACAATCCTAAAAGACAACCCAAAAGAATATTTTTATAATCACGAAGAACTTTGTAAGTATATGAAGTCCAAAATGACAAAGAAAAATGTTGACCTAGTTAACCACATCAAAATTTAAATTTCTAGCAAATTCCCCAGCAAAATAAAAGAAACATAATGCATTTGCATTATGTATAAGCAGAATAAAAATCTACAACATACATGACAAAGAGATATTTAAAAGGAAAAAAACAGATGAACTCTTGCAATCCATAAGAAAAAATTTACAAATCTAACAAGAAAAGGCATTGGAGAAAAGACTTAAACACAGTCCATTGCAGAAATATACAAATGGCTTCTAAGCTAATAATTAGAGATTCATAAATTTTTCCCACATTCACTTGTCAAAAATTTTAAAGGTTAATAATATTCAACATCAGGAAAGCCATGAAATGCAAATTCCCGAAGTGCCTGGAGAGGCCAATTTAGCGATAGCTATCAAACTAGTAAATGAGCAAACCCTTTAACCCAACGATTTATACTTCAGGAGATTTATTCTCCAGAATTATTTCCCCAATCTAAAAAGGTTTCAGTACAAAGATGTTCATTGCAGTCCTGTGCGTAAAAGTGAACTTTGGAAGCGGCGTCACTGACAGCAGTGCATTCTGAGCTGGCAGGATGTGGTCTCAGGAGGGAGGTGAGAAGGGGTGAACAGGGAACGAGGGTCAGCGGGAGGAATGAGGGTCCCCCGCTACTGAGCCACTGTGTGGGATGCTCAACCGCTGGCATCGGCGTAGGAGTCTGTAACCAGCACTGCCCCCCTGGGAAAAGAAGAGGGAAGGCACTGATCTGTCCTTTCTGGTCTTCTCCCGGGTCCGAACCACCCACAGGGCATTGACTTCCTCCAGCCTCAAGCAGCAGTGCGAGACTTTGGACAGAGTTTCCAAATGAGCCTCACACAGCAGCCTGGAGAAGCCCCATGCTGAGGACACCTGCACAGCGTGGGCGGAAGCCTGCTAAGGACAGTGCGGTGCAGCCATGCTGGAGTGATGACCACTCTGGAGTGGTCTAGTGGTTCATGCATTGCCCTTGAGGCAGAGGCTGGGTATGTGTTCGAGGTTGGCCTTTCCTCTCTCTGAAGATTTATCAAGGAAGAAGTAACCTTCAAGGCCTTTGTTTTGGAGGGGATGTGCGCTTACTCAGCCAAAAACACAGCGGATGGTAGCTCTCCTCCACCTAAAGTCAGCTGCTTTTTCCTCTGCACTGAGGTCCACTGTGACCGCTGGTCTGAGTGGCCAGGATTCTGAAGACTATCACCATGTTGTTTCTTCTTTTTTCCTCTCTGATACTATCACCCCTTCCACTAGTTTTCTCTCATTTCTTTGGACTACTGGGGAATGAGATGCAGTCTTAGGGTTTATTCTTGCTTCCTCCACAAGCACAAAAACCTTTGTGCCTTCTTAAACCCTTTGCCCTTGCTAACACTGGAAGGAATTGTAGTGGGTACTATAGCCTTGGTCTTCCCAGCAGGTTCTTTCTTTTAGAACATCCCTCTTATATTCTATGTGTGTCTGCTGGAGCTGTCAATCACTGTTTCCATAGCAGCAGGCATGATCTAATAGATATCTCCATAGATCAGGTTGGTTGAGGGGTAGTCATGTGACTCAAGCAGAGCCAATCAGAATTCTTCATGGTAATCTTCTAGAGTTCGGGAAAAGACTGTATGTAGTCCAACCTCTGGAGTAACTGTACCAGATTTTTTTTAGAACTTCCAGTCAAATATTTCTGCCACTTAAAAGAAAACTGAAGGAATAAAAATCATCAAATAAAGAAAAACAGAGCCCAGACGTGGAGAAAGAGTCCCAAGAATATTGCTTGATTC